TCCTTTCTCAACCCTGTAACCTATTCAAATATCACTTACCAGGATCAAAACACTATTATGCAAAGGAATTCTTAATCGTGGATAACTGTATGAACATGTTCCTTCATTTTTTTACTTTCTTTTTTAAAAAAAAATTCCCCGCTTATCTATAAGAACCCTATTATTTCCCGCACCTGTTTCATCTATTTCTTTTCCTAACAAGAGTTGGTTCCAGGATAATGATTTCAAAAATTGGGCTCAAACATTTGCTGTTCCAGTCTATAAAGATTTTTTGGATTTCTGTTAGAAAAGACGGAATCAAATGTAAAAATATTCTTAGTGATTAAAAATATTTTTAGTGATTTTAGGAGTTTGAAGCGGAGCTCGAGGAGATTGTTGAGTTTTGTCCACTTCAATGTAGTGGTGCCAGCCATGCTTCGATAGTTGAACAGGTAAAATAAGCTGCAGCCTTTTCTATACCTTTCCTTTAGAATAAAAAAAAGATGTTTTTAGATTCCAATCAGCGATAGTTGCATAATTGGAAGTAGTGTCAGCGTTATACAACGACGAAATGACTGGTTCCTGTGGAGAGGTGAAGATTGTCAGCCAGAAGCTTCAATTTTCAAAATTGGTTGCACTTTTGAGAAAACGTGAGTGCTGGAGAAGGTACTGGTAAATTGCTCGAAATTTCTGCAAAAAAATTCATTCAGATCGACGAAAAAGGAGGAGAAACTTCCCATGACGAAATTCTCTAAACCACGTGAACGTAAGATTAGCCAGGAAGGCGAGCTCAAATTAATGCCTGCTACCAATAGAATGGCGCAGAATTCCGTCTCAGAGGAGAAGGAAGTGGAAAAGGTGACCGTAGCATTACCATTACCAAAGGTGGAGGCTAAGCCAGCGGAAACTAAAAGCAAAGATGATACTTTGCCTAATGAGGTGGATCTGCTGTTGAAGGCTATGTTCCCTGCCTACAGGGATTAAATATTGTATAAATGTAAACGTTGCTTAATAAATTACTCCTATTTACTTTGGAGAAATACTTGTATCAGAAGACTG